TTAGCGATGAGTGGAAACAAGCCCAAGACCAATAGAGTGGAAGTCCTCGTGTTGCACCCATTTTTGCTCTTCTCATCATTCTTTTTGCAAGTTATGTGCTTTATTCTTTTAAAAACTGTCGAGCGAGCACAAAGGGTCGCGTGAACTTCCAAAGTGCGTTGGGAAGCCACACAAAACAAGGGTGGCCGATTTTCCTCAGGTCTTACCAGAGTGTTGTTGGAGACGATCTTACCACAAATTGTTCTTTTTCGCTGCCGTCAAGAGTGTTGTTGGAGAACAACCTCTGATGACAGATTTTCCTCAGGTCTTACCAGACCGGGAGGAAAACCAGGCTGGACAATTTGTGGTCGTGAGCGGTCGGAGAACATGGCGTCATGGGTGTGGAGGATCTCCTTCGCCATGTCGGCCGAGGAGACGATCACGGTCGTCTCCCGGCCGGCAATTTGCACCCGCATTACGGGACCGTACTCCTCCGCGAGCTTCGCAGTGTCTGCTGCGGCTTGTGGAACAAGTCCGAGAGGTTGGAGATGAGGGTAAAAATGGAAGGCCCGGGTGGGAGCTTCTTTTGGTGTTTGGTTTTTGTGATGGTTCTTAGGAGTGAGTGGAGAGTGTATAGTGCCAAGAAGAGGAAGAGCACTCCACATGAGCTCATTGAATCCATTTTTCTCTCTCCTACACATTCTAACATGTGTCCCATCCGTGCCCATGATTCGCATGAATTTGGTTTGACATTATGTCATTGTGTAACATTGTAACATTATATATGAGCATATATGACATTATATATGAGCATCTATGTTATTATATATTGTCATATGTGACATTACATGGTGTCATGTTTGACATTATTATGTCCTTTGACAATGTATTGACTGTGAATGTGGTACTGTGGCGACGATGGTGCATATTGTGATGGTAGTGTTGTTGATAATGGTATTGAGTTTGAGCAGTGATATCGTCGGTGGTGACAACAAAAATCAAAGGCGCCAATGGTAGGTTTCGTTTGTAGCAGTGCGACGGAGCAGAGGACGGCGGTGGTGAAGATTCAAGTGATAGTGACAGGTATGTGGCGGCAACGATGGCGGCGGTGGGCATCACCCTCGACGACGATGGCGGCAGTGGGTGTAGCTATCGGTAGCATGCTATTGTGAAATTGGCCAAATTTTTTTAGTTTTGAACTTGGCCACCACTGGTATTGGCCGCAAATGCAGCGCGTGTGGGGAGCATTTTTTGTTTTATTAATTAAATTAAAGTATTTATTTTAACTTTCTATAAAAAAAAATGAAAACTCAAAAACATGACTTGCAAAAAAAATTGCCGCATGCACTGGGTATGTGAATGTGCTCCTTACTTAGTTCACAATGCATCTTTAAAAAAAATGTTTTATTTTTTTGTTTTATTAATTATGTTTTACTCCTATTTAGAGTAGTTTAAGTTTGAACTCCTATTTTGAAGATATGACATATGTTTTACTCTTAGTTTGTTCCTTCTCCCTTTTGGGTAGGGATGTACACCGGTCCAGAACTGGACCGAACCGGACCGGAAAAAACCGAAGAACTAAAATCACCTAAAGTCTAGTACCGGATATCAGGTCTGTTAGATTCTAGTCCGGATCGGTCCAAACCTGTTTTCTGGTCCGCTCTAGGTAAAAATTGGAAAACCCAGAATTTATTATTTATTTTTTTGGTCAAATTTTTTAAACTTGTTTTTCAACAATGTAGCTTGATTTGAATTGATTAGAATCCTACTCTTAATGTTTATATTTATTGGGCGTGTTTCAAGAAACCATATTAATGTAAAATATTTTAATCAAGAGTATGATAACTTTTAAATAAGTTTTTTGCTTCTGTTAGCTTGTGGGATTTCAAAAATATTACTCCGTATAAAGTTATACTTAAAACTATTTCGTTTTTTGTAAGAATAAGTGAAATTTCAAATTATCGAATACTCTAAATTGAAACATTATACTTCATTTTTTTGAAATTGTTTTAGTTTTGTAGAACTATGGAGATTCTTGGGTAAAGGTCAATGGTTGTAATTATAAAAAGTAATGAAAATCAGTTAAAAATTACATATTACATTTAAAAGATTATACTCCATAATAAAATAAGAAGAAAAAAATAAAAACACAAAGTTATATTTATAATCACATACTTCGTATTAAAGGTATTAGAATAAAAAATTTACATTCCGATCTTACCGGTCCGACCAAGAAACAATTTGGTCTTGGATCAGAATGGACCGTATTTTTACCAGTCTTTAATGTTAAGACCGGAGACTGGTCCCGAATTTACCA